GTGTCAAATGATAGAGCACATGATGTGGCAAAGAGCATATATATATATATATATATATATATATATATATGCATATAAACAAATATATGACAACTTGAAGTGTGAGCCGTAACCTTTAGAGCTGGTTCACGTATGATCCTGTGAGCAGTACTCACGACCACACACCCATAGACAAATGAATCAAGCCTTTCAATGAGCTCTCTTAAGAGCAGTATCTCAAACAAATTACGTCGACACGGAGCATGATGCCGGTAGCTCCCGGGGAAAAGGTCTGAGTTAGTGAAATGCAGTTGTGTGATTCATGTTGGATGTTGTAGGCCGCAGCGTGTTCTGTACATTTTGTATTATGCATGGTTGTAGCATTATCTGTATTAACGAGTATTATTCAATTATATATGCATTGTAGTGCGCATGTTAATGTTTTAATGCCATGATAATGAATAACGATGTATCTGAAACGTTGAATAACTTAAAAAAGACATAAATGAAGACGATGCATGTCTCTTGATGAATTGCTTTCGAACCGAACAGACGACACAGGGTAAGAAAGATTGAAAAGCTTGACCGAAATTGCCCAGAACTGAAAACACCATATTCTTCAATGTTTATTTCTTAAGTGAATATATATATATATATATATATATATATATATATATCTACACACACACACACACACACACACATATATATATATATATATATATATATATATATATATATATATATATATTATACAATGTTAGGCATTCGTAATGTAGCCTCTCGAACATCTCCAAGGCTCTAGTTAGGTCGCTATTGCTTTGATCGGATGAACAACACAGTTAAGCTCAGGACATCAGGCAAATCCACACACACACACACATTTCCCCTAACATCGAGAAGATGGAACGATACATTAGTCGTTTCGTCAGTTTGTTGGTAGGCGAATCTCGTCAACGTAGGCAAAAACAAAACAATCTTAAGTCAAAAAAGTGCAATGAAAACCTAACATGAAAAGATAATGAAAAAAGCAGTCTTTTGGAAGAAATACGCATCTCTTTTCCATAGCAAGTTATCTCCTGATGTATAATCTCAGATAAAAATGATAAACGTTTTTACCGTCCTCTTATCCTGTTACGAAACGCGGCCCAAGATCACAAGCTCGGCAACTCAAGGCGTCGAAAAACGAAAATAGAAAACATCAATAAATTCGTCATCTAAATGTAAGTCTTGCGAATTCGTCATTGCTCACCGTTACTGGCCATTAATGGTTAAAGCTGCGACTGGGGCGGGGAAGCTTCACATGTAGCGTAAACGAAGGATACCAAGGGGCCGGTTGGAAGGGTCACAAGGTTGGACGGCGAAACGCTACACTTAGATGTGGTTGAAAATCACGCTTAAGTCTTTATTAAAAGTATTTAAAACAATAAAGCTGGACACCATGAGGCTTCTTTCCAGGACAAGTAACGCTTCATACCTCCAGCTCAATTGGGAGCCAAGCGGACATTACCTTTTTGGGACATGGCCCTTAGCGTGGCGTAATCGCTATGGATGGGGCAGGGCATAGTTTCGGGGAGTGAGTTGGAAGGCTGAGCCATAAATGAATTATGAAGCCTGCTACCAAACATCGCCGACAAACGGTTTTCCCCCCGTATCTAACCCACTTTGGGGGTTGTTTGGATGGTTGATGAAGCCCAAGTTAAGAGAGGGAGCTGAAGCTCCTCAGCTTAATAAAAGGAAGCTATACCCCTAGATGGAGGAGTTACCCAGCGTAACCAATGCGTAGCCGGGGAGAGGGTTGTTGACAATGGCCAAAAATGCGTGACGTAGCTTGTAACTGGATCCTTAACATGCTATTTACTTCTTGCATTTAAACCACCGTAAGCAATGCAGCGGGATCAGTCGAAATACTGAAGGCGATCACTGCAGCTCGGCTCACTGTGCTCCTCATGGACCTCAAGACTGCACAAATTGGCTGCAGAGCATCGTATAACCGCAATTATTTGTTTATCACCAAATCTTGAAGACAATGCTAATTTTCCATTGCATAATAGCATGTGTGCTGGCATGTAACCGCCGTAAGCATTCCTGGCTGGTATTACCGGAGCCTTCGCTCTGGTCACGTGCGCCGGTGTCAGGCGGCCGGGCATCCGGCCGCGTATCAGTCAGAGCGCTTCAGCCCCGGTCCGCGCACTCCGTCCGAGTCCACCGGTCCACCCGAGACCCCCGCCGACCGCACCCCGGACCCACCGGCCGACACCGCGCGCGCGCGCCGCCTCAGCCATGGTGTAGGACCGGGGAGCCTGGGGGTAACGCGAGCCATGTTTCCGTGGAACTTGACTAATAGTGTCGTGATGGTGTGTGAAAAGAATTAAGTCAAAGACTGCGTTGGACCCCCATCTCCCCTGTTTCGTTTTCTCACGTCCGCGGTATCACCGGCGCTGCTCTTTAGCCCTCAGTTTGACGACGCTCGGGTCTCCGGCGTCGGGTCTGTCCCGTGGGGTGCTGAGGCGGGCGCCAGGGAGCGTTGACATCAGACCCTGGTCTGGTATCAGCGCCCGCGCCCTGACGACCGGCCGGTCATGTGAGCGCGCCACCCAGCCCCCAGATAGCGACCGAACGACGCTGGGGGGGGGGGGGGGGGGTGAGGGGGCACCGCTCGGGCGACTGCGGCCGCGACAGATTGTCCTGGCGGCGCTGAGGACGCTCCAGGGCGCTGAAGGCGCTGAGGACGCTCCAGGGCGCTAGAGCGCTGAGGACGCTCGCCGCCCGGACGCTCAAGGGCGCTGAGGGCGCCCTCCGCTCGGACGCTCCAGGGCGCTGAGGACGCTGAGGACGCTCTAGGACGCCGAGGGCGCTGAGGACGCTCCAGGGCGCTGAGGGCGCTGAGGATGCAGAAGCTGTACGACATTTCCGTGCAGAATGTCTTGTAGGTGCTTTGCTCGCCGGCATGGTAAGCCGGTTTCGGAAGGCATGTAGTTTACATTTATAATCGGCGGGGGAATGTTTCCACCCGGATCCAGTGTCGGAAGTCTGGCCTGAAAGGCTGATGTCCAGCGCGGTATCTGGTTGCATGAAAATACGATGAAGTGTATTCACGCTTGTATTTATTAACACTTCCTGCGTCTGACTGCAGTTCTGCGTGAAACGGAAATATCGCAATGGCCATGACCCATGCGAAATGACCAAACACAGATTCGGTTATTTGGCCTTGTTGTTCCGATGTCAAACATAGGGAAACAACTTTGGAACACGTTGACATCGGCGGCGTATTCGAGGGGCATCGCGGAGGTACGTGCCTCTAACAAAAAATGCACAAGCAATAATGCGCATGGGAATGAATTTTGTCTGTAAATTTCTTGGCAAACATACCAAAAAGAGCGTAATGAAATCGTGTCTGGCGCGGTAAAATGAAATTTCTGTTGAAAAATTGCACCTTTGGCCCCCAATTACGAAATCCTGCATCCGCCCGTGGTGGCTATGATGCGGCTGATCAACCAGAGCGCTGTCACGTGTCTAGTCCCAAAGACTACGAAACAGTTCTGTAACCATGGACGTAAGCTTAACCATGCCGCACCTGCTGCTAGAATCTATCATTGTTTATGTGCCATTTTATGTGGTCTCAACGCAGAAATAGTCCAGTCTGACCCACAGCTGCTGGGGTCCAAATCCAGCCGACCCCAGAGGTGATGGGGAACCTCATTTCATTTTGCAATGCCGAGAGGCGAAGGCATAAATGTTAATTTCGCAATGGTGGAGAGGGAACTCGCCATTCTGCCTCTCGTGGCAAGCCTCATACTGAGTAAGACGTGTCATGTGCTCACCATGCGTCATGCGGCCGCCCTCGGCCACGCGCCCACCTCTCGGAATACTGTGCGTGGGCGACCGCGAACGTTGGACCGAGAATAGCGCCACCACTGCGGGCAGCGGCAGAACTCCCAAGTCTCAGTTTATAGATCACCCACCAGGCGTCAGGCTTTACCGTGCCCTCAATCACGTTGGAAATGGCAGCTGGTCGCTTTGTTCCTTTGGTTGGGGTTATTCGGACCTTCTCTGTTAGCAGCTGGTTGATGTCGGCGGTTGACTTGGATCGGTTGGTCTAAAAAGGCAGGTTGGCTTGGTTTGGTTGGTTTAAAAAGGCTTTCCACGTCCTAGCCTGATCCATGACTTCTTCACTCAACAGCTCATCGATCAGCTTTTCACTTTTCAGTGAATGCGCCTTGCCCCAACATTCGCTCTGCTTTTCTCATTCACTGCTTCATCCTGAAACAACCCCGTCTTGTCCTGTGTTTCCGAAGCAAGCTGCGGACGTCAGCCATGAGCTGGCTTAACTCAGCGCCGTCTTGACGGTAATGCCCCCCCCCCCCCCGAACCCCAACGAAGGGGGTACCTAAACCCAACAGCTGATATCTCCCACTTTGGCGGTCACATCGACAGGTACTTACCTCTCTCCTTAGTCACACACCCCTGGAATAGCCATTACTGGCCGAAAAGGCTATAATCCTACCCAAACCAAACCAATGTATCGGCCTCAAGAGTCGAGAGCTAAGCAAATCAATGAAGCTGAGTTCAAGCAGGAATACTAAGGGTGACTTCTTCTGCCAAAAAAATCGGCTCTTCAACAAAATTTTTAGACATTTTAATGCCAGTCCTTTCGTACGCCGTCACAAGTCTAATGTTCAAACCTATTTTTGGTGGTACCATGGCCCCTAAATGTCAAAGAGTCAGGCCCCTGGCTAAAACATGGCAATTTCGTAACAAAAATTGTTCGACCACTGGCTCTGAAGTTGTGAGATGGCATCTTCGGTTAACATCACTCGACCAGTGACCAGCCATCATCACATGGTGATCATTGCGCTGACTCACGCACACCAGACACCGCTTCCAACAGGTGCACGACCACCTGCGTGACCCGCGCCGCCCGCGGGCAAGAAGGGCCTGCCCGAGCGCGTGCTGTCAGCGCGGCGGCTGCCTTGTTGCCGGAGTGTTCGCCTGTGACCTCGGCGCCGCGTCGCCGCCTCCGCCACCGCCGGGCCTGTCCGTCCGCCGCCGTCCACGGCCGTCACTAGCCGTTTCCACGGGCATCAGAGGTCAGCTGAGACCGCTGACAAGAGAGCTGACCCGAGACCGCAGGGCTCGATCCTGAGCCCGCTTCTGCCGCTGCGGTACTTCCCAGCATCGGCGCCGTAGACGGACGGCTGACAGCACCAGCGGCACCAGCACCCGACCATGGCCAGCTACGGCGCGCAGGCGGACCCGGAGCCCATCTATATGAGCCCGTCGGAGGTGGCGCAGGGGCGCAAGCACGCCGCGCGTGCCGACGACGCCGACTCGGTCATCTCAGACGTGTCGTCGCTGTCGATGCTGGCCGAGGAGCCGAGTCAAAGCGCCGAAGAGGCCAAGTACCAGCAGCTGAAGCGGACGCATGAGCTGCGCGAGAAGCTCAAGAGCTGGGAGCTGACGGGGACGGACGGGGGCCAGCAGCAGCAGGACAGCCAGCTCATGACGTCGGCTGAGAGCGGTGTCTTCATCGAGGAGCTGCAGGACTTCGAGCAGGCCAAGTCAGACCAGGTGAGAGGTCCTGCGGGATCGACACCAGGCAGACTAGGTCAGACCAGGTGGGGTCCGCAGGGTTGACGTCAGGCAGACTAGGTCAGACCAAGTGAGAAGGTCTGCAGTGTTGACACCGGGCAGATTAGGTCAGACCAGGTGAGAAGGTCTGCAGGGTTGACACCAGGCAGACTAGGTCAGACCAGGTGGGGTCCGCAGGGTTGACACCAGGTAGACAAGGTCAGACCAGGTGGGGTCCGCAGGGTTGACACCAGGCAGACTAGTTCAGACAAATGAAAAGGTCTGCAGTGTTGACACCGGGCAGGTCAGACCAGGTGAGAAGGTCTGCAGTGTTGACACCGGGCAGACTAGGTCGGACCAAGTGAGAAGGTTCGCATTGTTGACACCGGGTAGGTCAGACCAAGTGAGAAGGTCCGCATTGTTGACACCGGTCAGACTAGGTCAGACCAAATGAGAAGGTCTGCAGTGTTGACACCGGGCAGACTAGGTCAGACCAATTGAGAAAGTCTGCAGTGCTGACACCGGGCAGGTCAGACCAAGTGAGAAGGTCCTCGGTGTCAGAGGTCAGGCCAAGAAAGAAGGTCAGACCAAATGAGATCAGTCCAGATCAGATCAGGCCAGATCAGACCAAGCAGACTGGTTTAACATATGGTGGAGCTAGACTGACAAAAATTAAGCTCCTTCGGGATTCTATTCGGTGCAAAATTGACATGAACCTAATTACGATGTGTTCAGATGCTTGCTGCTTGGTGCAACAATGTTTAATATAGCTGTTCTGTATCTATTTGGCCAAATACTCTCTCTTTGCTTTCATGCATTGAAGGGGATCTGAGAAGCATCCGTGAGGGGGGGGGGGGGGGCTCAAGTCAGCATTCGGGTAGGGGAGGCTCGGACTCCCTATAGTATATACATAGAGTGACGCCCTCGGCTCCACAGATTACTGCAATCGGGAGGCGACCAAGTCTCTTTGGCATAAACCCAAAGCTATCTAAGCCCAAACCAAGCAATATTGTGGCATGAAAAGCACGCGGGCGTATATTCCAGTTAACTGTGGTCAGGGGGAGCTAATGCAAAATTAGCTGTAGGATTTGGTTTTGTTTGCCCTGGATTGGGACTGGTGGTTGTCAATAGGTATCGCACCTGGGTGCGGGGTTCGTTCGATTCCCGCGGTGCCCGTCCTTCCTGCCATGGTGTGAGCCAGGCGACACCATAAAGCATCAGGGGCTGAATGCGTCCTAAGGCTTCAATGGTAACAGCATCAATGTCTCCTGAATCTCCAATGTCGTATACATTTGTCAGCGTACAAATGAGTTTCCTCTTATCTTTAACAACCCGAGAGTTTGACGCCTTGTAATGGGCTAATCCATCACATGCTCGCCTGGTGATGAGCCGATCTGTCACATGCTCGCCTGATGATGGGCTGATCTGTCACATGCTCGCCTAGTGATGGGGTGATCTGTCACATGCTCGCCAAGTGATGGGCTGACCCGTCACGTGCTCACCTAGTGCTGGGCTGACTCGTCACATGCTTGCCCAGTGATGGGCTGATCAGTGACATGCTCGCCGCTCTAGCATATAGATTTGTCGACAGACCTTGATGGAATGATTTGATAGCAAATTGAAATTTTCAGCTTGATTAAGCGCAGGGCGGAGACTTAAGAGCATTGTCATAAAAGTAGCCATAGCCAGACTTCTCATGACGTATTTCAAAATTGGTCATTATACCGAACTCATCCCGCACATCTGAGTTATATCGTCTACCGAAAAACCACAAGTCAGGCATTCCTCTTCGCTCGATAGTCTCCGCGTACGGAGATCTTGACAAACTCATCGTGGGTCCTCGAGCGAAAAATAATGCAGCTGTTGCTCCATAGGCCAGCGCAACTCAACAACACTTACGACTGCATTGGTAACCTGAATGACGTTCCCATACGGGTCCCACCACAATTTATTGGTTTCAGCAAGGACGTCGCCAGTCTTTGTGGAATGTGCCCGTAACTGAGGCCATTGATGCATGCGCAGAGTTTCGACAAAAATATGCTGAAATCATTGAAATGTTTGGCCAAGCGATTGATGACGTCAGAACCCTGTAGCCCCATATTTTGAACAATAGTTTCGTCACATATGGACAACATTACCGTTAACAAACGACAGACATATTTAAGGGCAGCAGAGTTGTCTTACGCCTCTGACCTACAATTTTCTAACATCAGAAAGCTCGGGTCGAGGACTCCGCTTCAAATCCATGCACCTATCATACCACAATATCGTTCCGCGAACCCTATACAAACGAAAAGCTTTGTGCTCCACTCGCGAAAGCAAGGCCATAGAACGAACAATGATGAGGGCAGAGAACACCTTCACAACAAATGCACAGACGCGACCTGCTGTGCCACGCGCTGTGGCTGTCCTGCTATGATGACCTGCTGCAGCTGGCCTGCTGTGTTGGCCTGCTGTGACCAGCCGCTGTGAACACAGCTGTGGCCGGCCGAGCCGCCGTAATGGCGGTGCCGGCGCCTCCACAGGTGCCGCCGGCGCGGCCCCCGCTGGCCAAATGTGCCGCCGGCGGCGCCTGGCGACGTGACCGTTCTCGCGTCGGCTCCGACGCGCGGCGGGGCGACGGGCCGTCGAGCCCTGCCCGGCGACCCCTGTCGGCGACCCCGGACCGCAGCCGGCGCAACCGTGAGAGGCGGCGGCGGCGGGCTTGTGACGTCACCCGCGACCGTGTGAAGGTCGTGCGCGACTGGTATGGACTCGTGCGCGACTGGTGTGAACTCGTGCGCGACTAATGTGAAGGCTCTGCGCGAATCGTGTGAAGGGATTGCGTGACTGGTAGTAGGGGTGCGCGCGACTCGTGTGAAGATCGTGCCTGGTTCGTGTTGAGCTCGTCTCTCGTGCTCATTGTGCGCAGCTGGTGTGACTGTCGTGCCTGGCTCGGCTGCAAGGGCGCGAGCTGCAGTGACAGCGACACAGTCAGCTACAGTGACACAGCCAGCTGCAGTGACACGGTAAGCTGCAGCGACACAGTAAGCTGCAGTGACCCAATACCGACGGCAGGCTAGGGGCGATCATCGTTCTCTAGGAGCAGTCACCATGACAGCGGGCTTCCCCGGAAGGCGGACACTCTGACTGTGGCGCCGAATTCGGCCTGACAGTGTTGTAGTCCTTGCTGAAAACATGGCGGGCGACGAGGACTCCGATCTGGACGAGACTAAAGGTCGCAGTGGGCGGCGAGCACGGGGAAAACCGGGTGGAAAGTGGCTGGCCAAGTTCTCCTCTCGCAGACGAGAACAAAACGACCCGGAGACAGCGCGGGCCTCGGCAGGGCGGTCGAGTCAACGACAGAATGCCAGAGACGCATGGAGGAAGATGAAACAGAAAATGAGTCGGGACAGAAGTGCCAGTCATCGCTCCAGCCAGGAGGCTTCCGCAGCCTCCGTCGCCGACGACAACATCCGCCACGCCGCGGATGACGCTCCCCTGAGGTCAGCTGGCACCGGCGACACCGGCGTCGGCGGAGAGCAGGGGTGCGGTTCCGGCGCGACGCCCACCTCCTCGCCTCCCCTGCGGAGAAGGCTGTCGCAGAGGCTGAGCCGTCAGCGGCGCGCCTCCAGCGCCTTCTTCGCCCGGATCGGCAACGACGGAAGACTGCGGCTGGGCCTGCTCAAGCGCCGCCTGCGCTCCAGAAGCCGCGGAGCCGGCGTCGGGGCGACCTGTTCGCATGATGACGTCAGCTGCTCGACATCGGTGCGGCTGGGCGCGTCCAGCACCAGCGTCGAGTCCTTCTACACGGCCGTGCTGCCGCCCGCCCAGCCGTGCCCGGCGCCGCGGCCGGCAGCGGCGTCCGGTGGCGCCGCCGCGGCACGCACCGCGGGCCAGGAGCACCTCTACTGCTGCCCGGAGGACGTGCGGGACTCGGCGCCGGCCGAGGACGCGGCGCAGGCCCTGGAGCGGCTGCTCGCCACGCTGGAGCGGCGCGTGGAGGCGTGCGAGTACGAGCACCTCACCACGTACCCCTTCCTGCCACCGCCGCCAGCGCAGCCGGTGGGTGCCGAGCCTGGGCGGACCAAGACTGCGGAGAAACCCGGAGGCTCCACGCAGCGGTCCGAACCGTCGGGTGACCAGCACGAGCACTACGTGGACATGTCGGCCGGGCGGGCGAATGACGTCAGCGAGGCCGTCACTGATCACCGGCTGGACGCCATCGGCCGCAAGCTGGACAGCATCTGCCTGCAGCAGAGCTTCCAGGAGTCGGGCCTGCGCTTTGATCGGCCGCACCGGTCACGAGGCACAGGCAGAGTTAGCTACCGGGTGAAGGACGACACTGACGATCGCCCGCACTCCTGGGCCGTGCCGGGGGGAGACCAGGACCTCGACCTTGACCTTGATTTTGACTTTGACTTTGATGGCGGCGCGTGGCGAGCGAATGGTCAGAGACGGTCAGACCCGGAGCGCAGCCAGGGAGGGGCGACTCACAATCGATCGGCGGCCAACCACCGCCACAGCTGGCCGGCTGGTGGCGCCCGCGGTGACAGCGCCCGAGCGAAAGCCATCCTAAGCCGGTCTGGTGCACAGGAGGACTACGGCGGCCACACGTACTACGACGCCGACGGCAGCCGAACTTACTCGCGCGGCCGGGGGGTCACGTTTGACGAGGAGTCACACGCGCACGGCAGACGCTCGCAGCGATCCACGGATAGCGAGAGACCCACTGAGGTCCAGCTGAAGCGTCTGCTGGAAGCGATCAAGGCAGGGAGGCTCACCGTTATAGTGAGTTGGTGTGCTGTTCCGCTCAATAGGTAACACAATTTTGTCATCGTATTTGATGTTTTGATAGGTCAATATTGCATTGCAAGAGGGTCGAGGTCACGGAAGCCACCATTCCGCGGAAAGACTCCTACCTAAGGTATATATATATATATATATATATATATATATATATATATATATATATATATATATATATATATTTAACCAAAAGTCACGAAACATATGATAGACATGGCAGAATAAGGCAGTGTACCACGCGACAACATGTGTTCAACTACTTAACAAAAAGTAAAGAAAATAAAGGTACGATCATCGTCCAGCGTGCAACTCACCCCGACAGCACCCAGTGCCGTCATTTAGTTCCAACGGCGACGGACCTGGCTCGTCAGCTGATGCACCATGCGTTTTCGTAGCCATTTGTGCCGCAGCTGGGACAGGCGACACAGCTGCTTCTGCGGCTGTTTTCAGTGTAACGCGGCGACGAGTGCCGGCGGTACCCTTATATTGCGAAGTGCTGATTCCCGGCGTGCTGTGAGGAGCGATTTGGGCCTTCTAAGGACCAAATTTGGATTCGTGAATAAGTTCGTTGAAGATGTTTTCCATGAGACACATGGGCCTGCGAGCATTGCGGGTAAAATACTGGGGCAGGGTGCTTTTATTGTATTATGTAATTCTGCTGCCCCAGCCTGACACAGATTACTAAAAGTGTGCTTTTTGGGTGTAATATAAGTGGTGACTTCTGGAAAATTATGTCTGATGATGTTATCACTGCCATTGTACACTGCCACTCCATGTTGCCTAGCTTAAATACTGGAAGCTGTGGTTGTATGTTGTATTGTGCTGTCTGTGAGCACGATTGATATGTGCGTGCCATGCGGAGAAGAAACTTTATTTCCTGACATCACATAAGGCCAAGCCATCATAAATATACAGATCCACACCAGCCCACAGCTGTGAGATGCCAATGAACATCCCAGCAAATTTCCTCTCCTGTGCCAGCCCACCATTAAGACAAAGTTCATCACATTTGCTTATTCATGTATTTACAAGTGCCTGGAGTTTCATCAACCTGGACCTTAATGTAACAAGCATCACACTGATGGTCAGGATGATCAAGCAGATAGATTTTGCCATTGTGGTCAGAACCCCCAAGATAGTTTAAGTCTCATGTAATGGGGTTAAGTTAGGTAATTGTCCACACATCACTCACTTGATTGGTTAGAATTAATATCATCCACTGTAGCCTTTTGAAAACAAGCTGCCCATAGCCTTAAAACTCTGTATGGTACCTGAAAAAGTCTTCTCTAGCAAACATTGCAGATATTTTTCCATATACTGGTATTTGCAAAGTTTGGTAATGCTACATGACATCTAGGTTCTACTCAGATGCATCCAAAATGCACCAGAACAGGAATTACTTTTAAAATGCCTCAGTTGTTTTTGAGTTGGCCCATGAAATGGTGTTCATATCCTGCAAACAGCATAAAAGATGAAGAGCCAATTTATTATTGTCATTGAGCTGTCTTAAGCTGCTAACAAACAATAAGGTTTTTAGCAATACAGTTTTTACCATTGGTTTTGTTATGCATTCTGGCACAATGATCAAGTTTTATTAGTGCCATCATTTTTATACATGTGCAGTGTCAGTTACTCCTGCTTATCAGTTATTGCCACCCACCCATCATGGCTGCGCTCATCACATTCTGTGACTCCACCACCACCGTGGCTGACTGTGGCTGCGCTGTGTTCGCCAGCGCGGTGCGTCGCTGCTGAAGCCGGGTGAACTGTCGCTGGCGCTGGACTCGCCGGCCGGCCAGGCGCGCATCAGCCAGGTCCGGCTGCGCCACTCCACGCCGATGAACACCGTCATCATGTTCGTGCCACAGCAGGAGGTGGGTGCCGCGGCAGCCGCGGCCTGCCGTCGGGCGCGCGCCGAGGCCTGGGGTGGGGCCATGGTGTGTGTGTGGGGGGGGGGGGAGGGTGCGGAGGGGAGGGAGGCAGTGGTAGTCAGCAGGCGAAATCGGCTTTCTGGTACTTGATGAGGTAGTATATCTTAATTTTAGTGGGCGAACATCGGGTCGGGCTAGAAACTTGTTTATGGCTGTCATAACAAGAGTTGAAGTTGCAAACGCCTTGATTCAAGGTCTGAATCGCTTCCATTGATGCGCAATCAAGCCCAAGCATGGAGGTGTGTTGGCAATACTAGTGTAACGAGCACTCCTCACGGCCGATGACTTTGGCTAGCATCAACCTGGCTGGCAAAACCGGACCTGCGGACCAGCATAGCCCATAACGGAAAATGGAGCTCCACGTCAACGCTGCTGTTGTTTTCGAACAGGGCGGACATCAAAGAACATCAAAGCCGTTGTGGTTTTCAAACACTGCAGCCCCCATGGCCAGTGTTGGTTACATGGGAAAGTCGCTGCCAGTCCGTACTTATCAATTGAAACACGTAACGCCGTCGAAATGTTTGTGGCACTTTGTACGCTTGCTCATCTAACCCGGCGCGGTGCTCCGGTCATGGATCGCTCCCTGCGTGCTCAGCTCCATCGGACCCGTGTTCGCGCCGCTGGATGTCGTCCGTGAGAGCACTGTATCGGTATCTGTATCTGCACTGTATCGTGAACAATACGTCAGGATTCACGCCCTGAGGGGACCGTGCGCCTCCCGCACTGTGCCGACTGTGATCTGGCGGTGTTCAGTGCCCTGTGTGCTGCGTCGTGTGTGCTGTGCCGTGTGTGCTGTGCCGTGTTTGCTGTGCCGTGTGTGCTGTGCCATATAGGCTGTGTTGTGTGTGCTGTGCCGTGTGTTCTGTGCCGTGCGTGCTGCGCTGCGTGTGCCGTGCCGTGCGTACTACGCCATGTGGGCTGTGCCGTGTGCTGTGCCGTGTGCTGTGCCGTGTGTGCAGCGCCACATGGGGTGTGCGGTGTGTTGTGTCATGTGTGCTGTACTGTGTACGCTGTGCCCTGTATGTTGTGCCATGCGTGCTGTGCCGTATGCACTGTGCCGTGTTTGTTGTGCCGTATGGACTGAGCCGTGCGTGCTGTGCCGTGTGTGCCGTGTAAACTGTGCCGTGTATGCTGCCGGGATGTGGTTTGCGTGACCTGTTGGCTGGCAAGGTTGGTCCACGCGCTGTGCCGGCAGGTCTTCTGCGATGTCAGGCTTCAACCACAGTCTGGCCGGGTCCATGGCAGATAGAGTGTCGTGTCACGTTTTGAACTGCCCTGCACAGTGTACCGTACCGCTTGTACCGTACCAGTCGTACTCCAGCCGTGTACACCACCAACTGTGTGACAATGCACGGCGAGATGCGGTGCTATGCTATGCTATGGTTCGTCGCGTGCCCTTTACCTGAGTGGTGTAAGGACGCCGCACGAACTCCGTGTCCTCTGAACCTCGCCCGTCGCCGCGAGGCGTGCCCCGCGCCGGCTGCTCCGTGACCGTGTTCCGCGCCGCTCCTCCACTCCCCTCGCCGCGGCGCAGGCCTGGATAGTGGAGCGCATGGGCAAGTTCAGCAAGGTGCTGGAGCCAGGCATGGCCATGCTAGCGCCGCTCGTGGACCGCGTCAAGTACGTGCACAATCTGCGCGAGATGCCGATCGAGCTGTGCAACATCCCGGGTGTCACCGAAGGTAGGCGGCCCGCCGCCGCCGCCGGCTGCCTGCTGCGGCGTCCCCGCGGGCCGGCGGCTCGCCGTGCGAGGCGAGGAAGTGAGGGCGTGGGGTGCGTGTGCTGACAGGGGTCTCCGCAGGCTGGAGACGGCGCTGCGGGCTGCTGGTGTGTCGTCGGTTTTCGTTGTGTGCGTGTGGACGGTGTGGGTGATCGCGGGCTCGGTGCGCGTGTCGGCCGGTGGAGGCGGCGGTGGCGCTCCAGGTGACGCAGCGGCGGGACGTGGCCGCCCCGACAGCATGCGCCCGGCGTCGCTCGCGGCGGAGCCTGCACCGGTACAGGGCCATACCCGACGGGGCCACACGCCGCTCGCATGACGCAGGGAGTCGGGCCGCTGCCGCCGCCGCCGCCGCCCGTGTCCGCCGGACCGATCCGGTCAGGTCGGCGTCGGTCTTCACCCGCGCCGCCTGGGCCACCTGAGCTGTGGCAAGAGCTCCGGGCAGCGGCGGCGGCGGCGGCGGCGGCGGGGCACCGGCAGCCGCTGCTGACTCTGCGGTCGTGCCGCGCCCGCCCGCAGGCCTGGGTGGTGGAGCGCATGGGGAAGTACTCGCGCGTGATGGAGCCGGGCCTGAACCTGCTGGTGCCGGTGGTGGACCGCGTCAAGTACGTGCAGAACATGAAGGAGCAGGCTATTGATATACCGCAGCAGTCTGCGATCACGTCAGGTGAGAGGCGGCCGCCAGGTCCTCCAGCGGCTGCCGTCTACTGCCTCCGGGAGCCGCTTAGCGGCGGCGGAACAGTGCTGCCACCTGCATGGTACTTGTGCTGCCACCAGGGGCGGTTCTTCGCGATTGGAGCTTACCGCACTGCCGCCTCTTGTACCTGCTCTGAGATGTATTTTGTGCGGGTACACAGCGTACAGTGCCTGTTTTTTTCTGACGGGGTCAGTCTGAATATGTCAGCAGCCCGTTTTCGCTCATCAGTGTACACTGAGCGCTGCCCAGAGCATGAGGAGAGGCAGTTCAGAACACTCCAAGTGGGAAGGGGTACGCCACGCGGTTCGTCAGGGACACTACATACATGAGATAGAGTTCACCGAACAGTGCTTGCCGCAAATGTAAGCAATCTCAAGCGTCATGCTTCGGAGAACTGGCTTGTTTTTTGTCATGCACTAACAGGCGGCCTGCCGGGTGTCTAAGCCCGCGACCGTTTTTGAGGTACGTTCTCCTGATGTATTTCTGGGAGCACTGTTTCCTGGCATTGTGCAAATGCTCGACACGCTGATGGCGTTAGTACGGCTGTTGTTAGTACAGCTGCTTGAATCTGAAAGTCAGTGTGAGGCAGCAAGTTCTCATGACAGACATGTTGGGATTCCATCTCCCAACATCTCGGCCTCTCGGCACAGGTTTAGCCCACCATCAGGGGAACCCAAACCGTTGACCCGATGCAGCCGTGCCGAATCTACGCTCTGCGCTTACATTGTTACATCATCACTTAATCATTCTACATCTACCTTCCTCCCACATTCATTCTGCATCGGTGCAGCCGTGAAAACATTCAACAGCATAAATTCTTGCAATATGAGCACCCTGTGTTGTGGAGCCAACTGTGCGCCAGCGCAGCAGCGGCAGCTCGCTGGCCGGTCTGCACGGTCTTCCCCGCGCCCCGCGTGCCGTCGTGTCGTGACCCCATAACCCCGTGATCCCGCGCGGTACCCTTCTGACGCGCCGCTCTCTGCGTCAGATAACGTGCTGTTGAACATTGACGGCGTGCTGTTCCTGCGCGTCGTCGACCCCTACAAGGCCAGCTACGGCGTTGAAGATCCGGAATTTGCCATCACACAGCTGGCCCAGACCACCATGAGGTAGGGCCACACCGCACGTGAGAAGAATGGGGGGGGGGGCGGTTCGGTACGCTATTGCCGTTTGCAAACAGGAGTGGCGTGCTTCAAGTGAGTTGGAATGGAACGCGCGCCGATGACTGTAAAACAGCCGCTATATAGCCTGAATAAATTATGGCTGGGTCAGACCTTTCGCACCTTCATGGTCTGGTGCGCCGGGTTCCCCTACCGTAGGCTTCTACGGGCCCACGGGATATTTCTGGAGCCTCCATCATTGTCACGCCCGTCTCGGCTCCAATCTCAGCTTCTGCGCCCGGGTCGGTGCCGTGAGTTTGTCCGACCGACCGCCCGGCACTTCGGCGGCGCCCGTGGTCACCGCTGGTCACGTGTCATGTTTGGCCGACCGGCCGGTGCCCCAGCGGCGCCCGTGGTCGCCGCTGGTCACGTGTCATGTTTGGCCGACCGGCCGGCGCCCCAGTGGCGCCCGTGGTCACTGCTGATCACGTGACATGTTCGGCCGACCGGCCGGCGCCCCAGCGGCGCCTGTGGTCACCGCTGGTCACGTGTCATGTTCGGCCCACCGGCCGGCGCCCCAGCGGCGCCCGTGGTCACCGCCGGTCACGTGCCATGTTCGGCCGACCGACCGGCGCCCCAGCGGCGCCCATGGTCACCGCTGGTCACGTGTCGTGTCCGAGCGGCTGCCCCGGTGGCGTACGTGGTCACCGCCAGTCACGTGACTAGTCTGGTGGCCGCTGGCGCCGGTGAATCCGCCGTACTTTTTGCGTTTTACCCTGTGGACACCTTAATGACCTGGTGACAGTCGTACGCGTGAGCTCAAGTCGCCGGGCGGTGAGGCCGCCGCCGCGTGGAAGCCGCTGCGAGCGTGACCTGTCTGTGTCCTCGGTCAGGTCGGAGCTGGGCAAGATCCAGCTGGACAAGGTCTTCCGAGAGCGCGAGAGCCTGAACATCGCCATCGTCGACTCCATCAACAAGGCCAGCGAGTCCTGGGGCATCACCTGCCTGCGATATGAGATTCGTACGTGCCGGGTGCCGCTGTCGGTGTGGGTGCTGGGGCGCTGGGACCAGGTCACTCGCTGCTGAAGCGTCTTGGTCCTGGTCCTGCCGCTGGGGGACGAGGAGTGTGAGCCGGTCGAGTGGGTGGGCCGGGCGGGGTGGTACTCTTTGGCTTCTGGCCTCTACGACCAGCGGTTAGGGGTACTTTGGACTGTCTGTATCGGCATGTATTATTCTGCCTGCACCAGCGTTGCAACTACTCACACTGGTAAGCGAGACGTTTTCAGTATAAATTTTACGCATTGTGTGAGATTCGAACCCAGATTTGCGATGAGTGGTCCGGGGCCTATCTCCACACCGCATGGCCGTTGGCGTCCCATTCACTGCACCACCACGATAGGCCACCTACATGATTCACCACAGATATCGGATGTCCGCGACAACAGCGCAACACACACCGTGCTTGCGTCTTCGGCGGACGCTGACTGGATTCTAATCGCGCCGCTTCACCTCGTAGGCGACATCAAGCTGCCGCACAACGTGCAGGAGGCGATGCAGATGCAGGCGCAGGCGGAGCGCAAGAAGCGGGCCGCCATCTTGGAGTCGGAGGGCGTCCGCATGGCCGAGATTAACATGGCCGAGGGCCAGAAGCAGAGCGTGATTCTTGCCTCAGGTGGGTGTGGCGCTGTCGCTCGTGTCCGCACGGATGGTCCTCACATTCACTCTGGCGTCATGCAACCAAGCTACGAACCTGCGCTGTTTCGAGCTGCGCGGTATGAGCTAGCGTATATCAACTGGCGACTTCGCTGACCTGAAGGGACTCGCTCACAGCCACGTAATCCGAGCCTGCTTGCTACTGCTTATGTTGCGCGTTATCCTTGGGCCTTCAAACAGCCGTGAATGGCAAGAGCAAGTTGCATTACGTCGTCGGCATTGCGCTGTTTGCTGGCGCATGTGCCTGCGGTGTCCGGTCACGGCGCCCCGATCACGTGTCTTGTCCGCACCCGCAGAGGCGGCGCGCGCCGAGCTGGTGAACAAGGCGGAGGGCGAGGCGGAGGCGCTGCTGGCTGTGGCGCGCGCGCGCGCCCAGTCGCTGGCCGTCATCTCGGAGGCGCTCTCACTGCCGAACGGCCAGAACGCCGCCTCGCTGGCCATCGCCGAGCAGTACGTGCGCGCCTTCCAGAGTCTGGCCAAGAGCAGCAACACCATGCTGCTGCCGGCCGACACGGGCAACATGGCCGGCATGGTGTCACAGGCCATGGCCATATACGGCTCCGTAACCGGCAGGAACGCCGCCGCCGCGATAGATGGCAGCACCGCCGTGCCGCCAGATGGCAAGATGGGCGCGCGGCCAGCCAGCGGCTCGGTGACGGAGAGCGTGACCACAGGAATGTCGGACGGGCCGACTGGCATGAGCTAGGCGAGACGCCGGGGATAGTGAGATCAGTGCGGGACGGACAGTCAGACAGGGTCGCTAGCACGATTCGCGGTGGGCCGAGCGAGCGGTACGCCTTGTCGCCGTCCGTGAGTTTCGCGTGAAGCGGGACGGGTACTTTCCAGTGTGATCACGGCAGGCAGTGCGGTGTCGAGAGCGAGCGGCCGCATCTACCGGCCACGAAGCGCCACAGTACTGGCGAGGGCCCGGGTGCAGCGGGATGATAGCTCTGCGGCATTGGTTACGGCGGCGAGCAAGGCTGTGCACACATTTCTTCCGCAGTGTGCACCATCCGCTTCGAATCGGACCTGTCCAAAGAGCCTGTCGCGTAATCCGTTGGCACCGAAGTGAATATTCCGTGGGAATGACAGCGCGGCCGATGATCACGCTCCGCGGACCTCGGGTGACGCCTGTTTGACGACTCGTATGTCGCGTTGTGGTTGGGTGCGGCCTTCCTGCCGGTCCGCTCTCCTGTTCCGCTAACCCCAGAGAAGAGGCGTCCCTGGGCCTGGCGAGACACCCGCCCACCGCGTGGGTGGGTCACCCATACGCGTCCTTCTTCAGCGCTGGTCGCTGTGACTCCCGTTACCCGAAGCAGGACGCCGATGGAGCAGGAGGAGGACGGGAGAGGAGTGGGACGGGCGGGTCGGCCGTGGCGCCCGCGCGGGCCTGGTCTGTCGGGGCGCTCAGTCCGGCTCCTGGACAAAAGCATGCGGGTCGCGCCGCCTCGCCTCGCCTCCAGTCGTGTGCTGCTGCCGTGTCGTGTCGTGCCGTGCCGTGTCGAGTGGGGTGTCTCGGTGGTGGAGCCGGGCGGCGGCCGCCGGGCGCTGCGGGGTCTGCTCAGGAGTCGGATGATGTTGCCATGGAGACGCTGGGCGCTGCCGTGGACGCGCTGACAGCTGTCTAAGGTTGTCATGGGTGCGTTACCCGACGCCAGGGCTGTCCAGGGCTGTTCATATGGCTTCATGTAAATACAGAAATGCAGCAGACCATCACTTGTTTCGGGCGCGGGGTGTCGTGAAAATCTCCTATATAATCAGTGGTAATGCCTGATTCGTCCGTGCTAGCAAAGTCGGCGATGTGGCGGCCCGGTCAGTGACCAGTGGGCAGGCGGTGGGTCATACAAAGTAACCGGACGGCCGGAAACTGCCAGCAATGAACGGGAGCGGCATCGCCAGGAGGCCCAACGCAGGGCCCGGGTGATCCCGTTTGTGACCTCGGTGCGCTCGTCCTGTTCGGTGGGGACGTACTGTACTGTGATAGACTTACGACGTACGATAGACGTACTGTAGACGTACTGTGATACGTGCCAGGGATTACCGAGTCGACGGGATTTTGGGCATGACCAGGCGGCGAGGATATCTAAAAGGACAGTGGGCGTCTCCGGTTTCCCTTCAGATGTGAGGGAAACGGGTGGGCAGATGTTGCCAAGGAGCCCTGATATCATCGGGGAGCGGGAATAACCAAGGCACTCCAAACAACAGGGGCTACCAATGTACCAGAGGACTTGCGAGGCGGCGGGGCGGCAACAGGCGGGACTTCATAAACATGCCGAAGTCCAAGGACAAGCCGGGCAGAAATAAAACTTGCGTATGCATTCCTGGCCGACGGCTGGCAATACCTCCACAGGCGTGATCTGAGGCCTAGTGCAGCGGTTCTGTTGCGGGGGTCAGCACGTCGGCCAGTGTCCAGCAAGTACTTCGGCGGTGGGTGGAGACTGGTGCGTGTCGTTCGTGTCTCCTCGTTCTCTGTGCCCGGGGGAATGATGTGCACCTGTCCTTGCGGTTGGGTAAAGGTCTTGTGTCTGTCCTCGCAGCTGGCTATAGGTCGTATGTCTGTCCTCGCGGATGGCTGTAGGTCGTGTGTCTGTCCCCGCGGCTGGCTATAGGTCGTGTGTCTGTCCTCGCGGATGGCTGTAGGTCGTGTGTCTGTCCCCGCGGATGGCTATAGGTCGTGTGTCTGTCCTCGCGGATGGCTGTAGGTCGTGTGTCTGTCCCCGCGGCTGGCTATAGGTCGTGTATCTGTCCTAGCGGCTGGCTGTATGTCGTGTGTCTGTCCTAGCAGCTGGCTGTAGGTCGTGTGCCTGTCCTAGCGGCTGGCTGTATGTCGTTTGTCTGTCCTAGCAGCTGGCTATAGGTCGTGTGCCTGTCCTAGCGACTGACCGTAGGTCGTGTGCCTGTCCTCGTGACTGGCTATAGGTCGTGTGTCTGTTATCGCAGCTGGCTACAGGTCGTACATCTTCCCTCGCGTTTGGCTATGGGCCGTACATCTGTCCTCGCGGCTAACTGTAGGTCGTGTGCCTGTCCTCGTGGCTGGCTATAGGTCGTGCGCCTGTCCTCGTGGCTGGCTATAGGCCGTGCACCTGTCCTCGCAGCTGGATATAGCTCGTACATCTGCCCTCGCATTTGGCTATAGGTCGTGCGCCTGTCCTCGTGGCTGGCTATAAGCCGTGCACCTGTCCTCGCAGCTGGATATAGCTCGTACATCTGCCCTCGCATTTGGCTATGGGCCGTACATCTGTCCTCGCGGTTGGCTATAGGTCGTGTGCCTGTCCTCGCATTTGGCTATAGGTCGAGCACCTGTCCTCGCAGCTGGATATAGCTCGTACATCTGCCCTCGCATTTGGCTATGGGCCGTAAGTCTGTCCTCGTGGCTGGCTTTAGGTCGTGTGCCTGTTATTGCGGGCGCGGCTATGCCGTTCGCGCAAGGTCAAAAGCAGACGCGCAAGGTCACGTATTTTGTCAGTTTTGTTCAGGCACTAACATCTATTTTTGCTCATGAAGCAAATGCAACAAAAGCGGACAAGCAGACAAGAGGAGACGTTACGAGCATCAATATAGCGCCATGTCTATTTCACTTCTTAGGTAACCGAATACACGCCGGGGTTTCGCGTTCTGTGTGACCTTGACCTTTTTATCTTAAGAACAAGCTTTCCAAGCATGATGAAAGTGAACATAGCAATCAGTACCATTTTATCCTTGTTGTTGTATTGGTTTGAAAAGCAAATCAAAGCCGTCACACCGCGTTATGAGGGTCTTTGTTCGTTGAGCTTGAAAGCTAGTTTTTGCGCGTGCGGCGAAAGCGGACATCATGAGCATCAATATGACGCCCTTTTTAATGCAATTGGTTCGTGAGCGACGTAAAGCTAGGATTTCTTATTTTACGTGACCTTGACTTTTTACCTTGCGAGTGAAGTTTTGTACATGTGACAAAAGTCGGCATTACGAAGATCAACATCTCTACAATGTTTGCTTATGGTACGCCTGTCTCTCCCGTTTCGCGTAGCGCCATGCACGGACCGGACAGCGGGTCGCTGAGCGGCGAAATTTCAACACGACGCGCAGACGGTTTTCGCACGAGACGGTTTTCCACGGGTGGGTCGCGAGCCATTGCGGTCCGGGGATCGGGGGTGGCATGTGACGGAGAGGTCGTCTTAGGCCCATTGGCTTTGAATGAGCGCTCCGAAAATGTGACCGACGACAAAGCTGACGAGCAGTGGTTCGAAACTGTGGTCACATCTCGGCAACCAGGGGTCGGAGCGATAAGAAATTGACACGCTTAGGTAGATAAACGGGGAATCGTGTGTGCCAGATGTCGAGAAACACGTGGCACATGCTGCATGCGCCGGAGCATCTAAGATGGATTTGGCGATTTTGTACAGTTCTCACGTTTTGTACCAATAGCTCGGCAGTCAGAGCGGGTAGAAGTGCAAAGCCAATTCAGAGCGTCGAACAACGTATCATCTGCAATTCATGTCGCCAACACGATCCTGTGCAACCCATGGTTGTGCCGATCATTTTCAGAAAGCCGGAAATGTCGGCTTAAAAAAACGGTGCTGAATACGACATGCTCTTGTTCGTGAGCGTGGGGCCAAATTTACACCACCACATGCACCTATTCATTCACCGTACAAACCATCCATCTATCAGACATTCTATACATTGTCACGTCCATACATCAATCTTACGACAGGGTTTTAATTCCTCATTTTTACATCATCAAGATGCTGCCAGCCGATCGCTCTGCCGCCGACAGCGAGAATTTCGAGCAAAACGACGAAGCCAGCACGGGCCGTATATTGCGGGTGTCCGACAGTCGTCATTCCTCCATTCATTCGTTGCAGTCTGAAAGGTGACGCATAGTGATAATCAAATGCATTACCCGAACTCCTTACTTTGAGAAATGTCGGAGAAACCATACATCGATTGAAGGATTTCCGATGGATACAATAAGGGGCTCTAAGAAATTCCGTACTTTTGCAGCAAAGCTCACTGGTACGGCAAAACAGCACCTCCATTGGGGCTTCTCAAGATGTGTTTTGGAGTCACTACAAAGCCTGGCAATGCCCCAAAACCTTGCAGCAGCATTGAAAAGTGATAGTGGCGGACGTAATAGGATCTGGCATTTGCAGTAGGGCAAGTGGTGGCGTAGGGTCTGGATCTAGGATCTGGCATATGCAGTGGGGCAAGTGGTGTTTCCTTGAGCTGCTAGAATGCGCAACAACGCTCCAACAAGTAGAAACATGAATTGTTGAAAGCTTGATTCAAAAGCCAAAAAAGCGTTGATTTTGTCGTAGTGAGGTGAGCGTGAGCTCATTACAGAAGAAGGCATCAAATCATATTTCGGGATCATTTATTGCTACCTCTTTGCTGTGCCTCATAAGCTTTGACGCAAGACTAGATGACGCGAAATCGGCAAGCACAATGGCAACTTTTACCCCTGGCTCGAACGAATATAATCCCAGGTACGCCGTTCAATAGGCTGTTATCCACCGATTTCCGTCAATGTTGCAAGGCATTCAACCCGTGATGCTGTACGAAATAGTGGCTTACGGATGAAGTTTGCTTCCCATAATCCAACTACGTCCCTGGTTGTCAGCACATCACACCCGGTTCCCGTCAGGCATCCGGGCAGCCAGTGGTCGGGTCGGGTCGACCAGGCAATCCCATGGGTGGTGTTAAGTGCATTCCGAAATAATGCAAATTCAAATCATTCATAGAACCTCTGTCGCTTAGTGAACCAGGCCCGCAAACGCTTATAATACCCCTTTCGTTGGATTTCTTCGGTAAACCAAGGAATGACGGGTCACCCAAATTTTTACCTTCCGTTGACCTGTAGAGGTCAAGCTAAGTGACTTAGGGAAAGGAGGATAGCAGATTCAAGGCTTCAGTGGGTTTGACCTTTGCGAAAAACCGGCTGGAAATCTGCAGTCCACGTTAAATTCGGATACGAATGGGATCCCAACTTGACGGACATCTGCCACGCCTCTACAGCCGACTTCTGACTTATCAGTGCTCACCGCTGCTATCTCAATCTTCAGCAGCGGCAGAAGTTGCTGAGCGGACAACATGCGAGGGCACTTGCTGTTGGTGCTGGTGGCTACGCTGACTGCAGGTTCGAGGACAAGTGCTAGCAGGATTGCCACGAACGTGTGTTGCCTCACCAACGCGAAACGGTCGTTTGAGCAAAGTTCGTTCTGTGTAGGATCGATATTAGGTAGCCAAAGTGTATATCGCTGCATATACCGACGCCATCTTGACAATGTGAAACCGTCCAATTGAGTTGTAGTGCATGCCATACAGCTGGTTGCAGTGCAGTGGTGTTCGCGATTTACTATCATCCCGCCAGCAACTTCATCAAAATGCCTCATATGACTCCCCGTGTCACACATCAGGCGGCCCGGCGACCGAAGCACACCCAGCTGGCCCGGCGTCAGGCACGCAGACGGACCATGCAGACGCGCGTCACCCGACTGACATCCAGGCGGTGGTCGGAGAGACCGTCGATCTCTCCTGCCGATTCTCAGAACCCGGCAGACATTCGGTCAGTACACACACGCCTGGCCATCCTTTGTCGCTAAAACAAAGCCCTCGACGTCGCAAACGGAGGCTGACTCCTACCGACGGTCTTTGGCCGATACATGTACAGGGGTGGCCATGAATTGTAAAAATGTCCTGGTGGAGCGAAAAATGCATGTGATATACGCTTACAGCATGACATTTGGCATACACCTTGTCACACACACACACACACACACACACACACACACACACACACACACACACACACACACACACACACACACACACACACACACACATACACACACACACACACACACACACACACACACACACACACACACACACACACACATATATATATATATATATATATATATATATATATATATATATATATATATATATATATATATATATGAGTATTCTGAGAGCAGGTTTTCGAGTATACATTGTTAGTCGTACCATACAGCGAATTCAGGACGCGTAACCCTGGTAGTTTTTCAGGGCATTGAGTTGCGTGGTTATCATCTTCATTGTGTTCGAAGCGAATAATATTGCATTTGCCAACGTTTCGATGGATTTTATGAATATTATCCACCGAAAATATTACGCTACAAATATGCAGTTAACCACAGCACGCATGCAAATGTTCAGTTTGGGTGTAAGTTTATCTTAGTTTCATGACCATGGTGTGCCAGAGTCAAACGGGGCTCACATAGCTTAGCTTAAAAAGCATACATGGCCAGCACTTAACGCGCGTCAAGGCACCTAACACCACGGAGAGGGCCTTTCCTATCTAGACCCAGAGTGCCCCTGCGTCTTCGGCGCAGTCACGAAGTCGCTAAAAGGCTGGAATCCGCTAGCTAATCGGAGGCGGGTCTTTCAGTTTACAGCTCTGCCCTTCTTAAGACTTAAACCCGTCTAGCTTCTGAGTTGCACGCCCGCGAAGATGTGCAGCTTATTTTGGGTAGGCTTTTCCAAGGTTATCCGGGCATTCATGACGCCATGATAACGCCATTGAAAACCTGCCATTACATAAGCCATGCGGCGATCCAGGCCAAAGCCTAGTCGTTCATATCTGGCGTTCGTGAGCACGATTTCCAGACAAAACAACCGTCAATTGACTCTCAAACAACGTTGTGCAAGGTACGATGATGCAGTCAGACAATTACTTAGTGAGGGCCATATTTACTCAACGGAGAACTTCTGCTGTCTAGAGCAATCTTTTCCACTTTAAAGTATACCAATGTGCAAGTGAGTTCAAGTGACCTCAATTCGTCACATTTCATGGTTGCTTCAATATCTTCAAATGCGGAATATTCACCTTTAAAGGCCCGGCTAGGCGTCAGAGCCCACCGCCATAGGTCCTTGGGCCCAAACCGTCCTGTACCTGAGCGAACCTTCTCTGCGACAGGTAGCGTGGATCCTAGAGCGAGACGTCTCCATTCTCACCCTTGGCGTGTTCACCTACAGCGAGGACCCAAGGTTTTCTGCCCACCGCCAGGTCAGTATCTGCGTCAGTTTCAGCATCATGACCTTGGTGATGGTGATGTGGGCAGCGTCAGTGCCGTTGCCAGCCTCTGCAGATCGACGGGGAGTCCTAAGCCTGCTCCCAAGCAAAGCAATTGGAAGGCGATTCAAAAATCCCGTACCATAACATAAATACCATCCTGGAGAGCATAGAGTTACGCTTTTTAAACTTGACAGAGCTATCATATTTTGTCCCCCCCCCACCCCCGGTCTCAGAATGACCCTGGGGGGGGGGGGGGGGGGGGGCTGGAAAGTAGCGTCCACACTTATGTTTGGTCAGAGACAAATACCGCATTCAACTACAGTTTCAGGAATCCTTCAGTTACAGCGAAAAACAGGGGTTAATGAAAACAACGAATGTGTGCTGAAGTTTTGATTCCTCTGTTCTCTGTCTTCTATATATGGCCAGTGACTAGTGGGTACATTGGGTACCCCAATCCTCTGTTCCCCGTCACCCACAGCAGGAGAGTGAGGGGTGGATGGTGAAGACCTCAGTCCTCTGTTCCCCGTCACCCACAGCAGGACAGTGAGGGGGTAGGTGCAGAAAACCTCAGTCCTCTGTTCCCCGTCACCCACAGCAGGATAGTGAGGGGTGGATGCTGAAGACCTCAGTCCTCTGTTCCCGTCACCCACAGCAGGACAGTGAGGGGAGGGGGGTGCCGAGGGCCTCAGTCTTCTGTTCCCTGCCACCCACAGCATGACAGTGATGAGTGGGTGCTGAGGATTAAAGACGTGAAGCAGCGGGACGCCGGCATCTACATCTGCCAGGTTACTTCGGACTCGGGCGCAAAGCTGCGGTTGAATCTGCATGTCAGAGGTTAGTGGTTTGGTTCAAATTTTCAGGTTTTATCGACCAAAACGGGTTGTTTTATACAACTCACAGCTCTGAGCTTTAAGTGGCAGCTAGTTGACCAAGGAGGAAGATTTTAAATTTGAAGTGGTTCAGTTGCCAAAATGAAGCAAAATCTTAAAAAGGGCAGTGGCACAGTCTTTGTAAGCATGCCTGGAAAAAAGTCAGCTCGCTTTCTTAGGCTATGTAATCGCCGAACTGAAAGACCGTGGCTCGTGGCAGGTACCCACTGAAGCATGTATGTTGTGAGTTAAAGGCGTCTTGAAGTTACAAATAGGTAACTAGGGGGCAGTGGCTCGGTCTTTGCCATTCCGCCTGAAGGAAAGCCAGCTCGCTTTCTTAGGCCATGTAATCAGTAAACCGAAGGACCGTGGCTCATTGGAGAAATCTACTTAAGCATGTATGTTGTGAGTTAATAGGCGCCCGGGCGGCCGGCTAGATATCCTTTGCTCGGATGGGGGGAGGGGGGGGGGCAATTTGACCCCGCTGAGATCTCAGCAACTAAGTGAGCTAAAAACACCAAATTTACAAGATGTGTTGACCTATACGTGAACTCACTTTAGTCAAAGTTTCAGGCTTCTAGGTTATGACCTTTGGGTCAAAAAAGGTTAAACAAGGTCAAGTTCCAGGTTGGTCTCCAAATTGCCCCCAGAACCTAGATGACCGTTTCTAAAAAAAAGGTCACATGCTCATTTAAGGTCAATGACCTTGTTTGACCTGTTGAAGGTCATGGTGACCAATATCATACAAGACTGCTCTGAGTTTTGCATTTGAATAAGTGATAAAGTTTACGCTAGACAGTATGCTCCTAAAAACCAAATGTTCACCTGGGTCATTTTAGGTCAGTGATCTATTCTGACCTCTAAGAAGTCCGTGAATGGTGTATAATGCGGTTTCTGCTATCAATGAATTCGAAATGAGCACCAGAAACTATTCCACGCAGCAAGCCCCAGAGTAATAAAACAGGTTAGTTTTGACCTTGGTGTGACCGTCATACATGACCTTAGGTCAACGTAATATGCTCATTCAACTGTTGTGTTGCCTAAGAAAGCGTCTCAGAGATGTATGACTTCGTCTAACACTCCGTTGATGGATCAAATTGAAAGATTTCCTAGAAATTGCCTTCGCTGAAATAATGACCTGACTTTGACCTGCCATAAGTCAACGAACTTGCAAGATACATCTAAAGTTTTGGTGCCAAACGACCCGCTATTCAACTGTCTACATCTATGCAAAATTTGGCGCGGCTGCGCCGCGCCGTTCGGAAACCATTCTGGAAAAACCTTCGGGGGGGGGGGGGGTAATTTGATCCCACCCGAGCGCGTGTTAAGGGTATCATGAAGTTACAAAAAGGCAACTAGGTGGTGGCGATGCATTGCATATTGCGGATTTAGGAAATCATGGATTTCTTAGCAAGTTAGGTGGTAGGCGATACCTGGGTATCGTATCCGAATGCTCATTCTCATGTTTTGCTACCATACCACAACCACCCTACCGGACGTATGGTGTTAGGTGCAGTTCAATGCCCACATTTAACACAAATCGACGATACCTCACATTTTAATTACCAGGGCTAGCACAGAGTACGCTGACGCCTGAAGTAAAGGTGTTTGTGGGGGCAGAGAGCCATTCGAACTTCAGTGCTTATAAAAGATCAACTGTTAAATGTCGATAAACAGTACACATGCTATTTACCATCTGATCCGCCGTATCACGCAGATTAAAAAATGGTTCAAAGAAAGCTAACCCAAACAGATAAAAATGTATTATCACAAATTTCTGTAATTATCAGTTTTTCGTAAAATTCAATATTTTCCATTGATTTCAGCAGGAGGCACAAAAAAACTGGAGAAACCCAGCATCATCGATTTTGTTTAAAATACTACAAATGTCCACCTTCCCAGATAACGAGGGCATATCTTCAGATTTTTGCGGGCACCAAAATCTGTGATATTTAGACGTCACCGTATCCGGAAATCTTAATTTACAACTATAAAACATAATACTGGATCATCATATTAATACTGAACCCGATCTAAACTTTTTATGATTGAACATACACACCAGTTGTAGCAAAATTTTTAAGGGCAAGAATTAATTTACCGAACCAAGGTTGCGGTCATCGCAGGTCACGTGATTACCCTTTGCAACCAAGCACAAATAACACCTCTACAAACAAAAAATGTGATGCAGAGCCGAATGATGTCAAATGCATCATGTAATGGCGCTTACTTCAAAAGATGAACTCAGAAATCTCTACTATTATATGTATGATTAGCTTCTGGCACAATGCATTATTTCCCGCTGATCTGAACGTGGGCACCACGACTTGGAAGGCTCCGACCTCTTCTATTGTTTCTTTTTAGAATCGCTGGAAGTATGCAATATACCAGAAAACGAGGGCACCTTAGGATTTTTCCGGGCATAACAACTGTGACCTTCAGAGGTCACCGGATGCCAGACGATTATGCGTCATAGAGAAATACAATGCTTAATGGCAGGCCCAACGAACATGTTGAAACCGATGCAAGCCAAGTGTAATGCCACCGAGGCATATCCAGCTCCAGGCCGGTTTAAGACTTACGTATTGCCCGGAAGGCCGGAGAAAGCAATGGGGTTGCGTTATCATAAGCGAACACTGGTACCCGTTCGTTATGGCGCTATTTTCTTGCAAGGTTGTGAGTAACTGCATTATACTCTTGACTGGTTGTGAGAAACTATGCATTTGGCTAGGTTTGCAGAGCCATTCAGCACTCCTATTAGCTGTGTGATTGTTTGGCCTTTACGATCGTACTCAAGAGGTTGATTCCACTGGCAAAACAGAACTCAAAGATGTCGGAAGCTCCGCTGTATGTTCTGAATTGCATGATAATCTCATTGCGCTCACTTTGGCTTTTTTGGTGGCTTTCCTCCTGCAAAATTTTGCTTTGTCCCAGGACACAAAAGCTAACAAGGGAATATTGATCTCCCCAGTGATACTTTCATATATGGAAAGACATAAGGCGGGGTCCAAAGTCTATTGATATTGTCGGCAGTTGCCAAGAGCGTCGATTCCTGTATGTCTTTGTTAGGGGAGGGAGGGGGGATGGCGAGTCGAGAGGCCAACAACCTGTCTCTCCCTAATGCCTGCTTCTCAACGGGCTTAGCGTTCCTTATTTCGACGGAGCACGATTTTTCTTTTAAATTTTGTATCATTGATCAAATTGCCTCTTTTAACACAAAAACATTGCTCAAGGTAAATATGAAAATATTTACTGTTCAGCGTAATTAGCGTGTTTACTAATCATATCTAGATAGACATGCCGGCGAAGATAAACTTTGTTTACGGTGTAATTTTTTCCGCGGGCTCAACAAATCGACTCAAATCAACATTCAGAGGACCTGGGTGCTCACAAAGCGACGTAAATTAAGACCTCTGGCAGGAGGTTTACGGCGGGTTAAGCTGATTAAAACGCTTCGAAAGTAATATTGCCCCCTTTGTTCTGCCTCTTTTATAACTAAAGTCACGCCATAATAGTGCATGGCAACAATTTATTTTAGGAACAGCGAATGACTTCGTTTGACCGTCCGAAATTCTGGGATCTGTGCCCCGTCCCTTTTAGGATATGAGGCAGATTCAAATTATCGCCATTCATCAACTAACTCGTCCAAGATCATTGCTTTGCCCAAATCCAAAGAATGTCTTTGTAGTGGGGAAGGTATGCTGTCCTTTCTTCCCGGCTCCTACTCCCATTGGTGTCAGCATGTACTCATTATGTCTTTCAGTGAAAGTTTTGTTGCATTTTCCGTTGTTTCGTGATATTTAGTGCTGTTTAGTGCATGCTGCCCCAATCAAAGTTTTTCATATCGCGCAATGTGTTGACATAGATGCTCAGACAAAGGGGTTCCCTTGTCGCGCATTGACGTCTCTGGTTCTGCGGTTTCGCAGAGAAAAACTCAGGAGGAGGAAAGCAGACCAGCACCGACGCTCCTGTCCCGCTGCTACTTGAGTTGATGATGGCATTGTCGACTGCGGTTTCACTCATCTTATGATTGTGATGGTGGTGGTGGTGCCAGTAATGTGAGAAAACTGGTGAGGTGTCTGACAAATCCCGGTAACGAAAAAAGGGTAGCATACGGTGCTGTCAGCAGCCTGCCACACCGCTTGTGGTAGCGGGGTAGCAGCCGGTAGCTGAGGGTAGCAGCTGACGTTGAAGCTTACCCAGTATCCCAAAAGCTATTTCTAAGCTTTTCCTAGAGGTCCACGCCAATGCCCTGACACATTGCGTGTACGTGTGTATGTGTGGGGGAAGGGGGAGGGGCTTCAGCTCCCAAATGTATGACAATTTTCGCCCAGGTTGTCATGTATGTCAGTGTGGAGGCGGGCAGTGTTTGCGATAGAGCGCTTGGGGAGGGGGGGGAGGGGGGATCGTGATAGGTTGGACACGCGACGACGCCATTAGCCTTGTCCACTTGCTCCCCGGCACGACATCGGGAAGAATAGCTCTAATGCCGGGTAGTGCCGGTCATGTTAGACGCCGCGGACACGCGCGGACGAGGAGATTCGTTTATTGAATTTTGTGTTTCGGCTTAACGGGAATGTTCCACATTTGCATGGGGTTTTGAACTGAAATAGGCGTCGTAAAGATCTTTCAGTTCAGCTAACAGCCTTGCCCTTCTCAAAGCCTAAAACAGTGCTGTTTCTGAGCTACACGCCCGTGAGGATGTGCAGACTATTTCAGGAAAACTATTTCAAGGTCACACAGGCATCCATGACGCCATAATAGCGTCATTCAAATCCTGACATTCCGTTGTGCATACGGTGGTCAAGACTGAAAATTATGTGATTGTCGAGTCGTTTATATCCGGCGTCCGTGACCACGATTTCGTCAAGTGTCTCTCAATCAACGTTACGCAAGGTATGATGACGTAATCAAGCAATGCTGTATTGAAGAGGATGTTTACCAGACAAATGTTGTTGTTTTGAGAATCCTTTGCAGCTTTAAAGTACACTTATAGTTATAAGTAAGATTATTTCACCATGTATGATGTTTGCTTCAATATCTTGAAATGTGGAACATTACCTTTAAGTTACAGATTGTGTGAGGCGTACTACCAAGGCTTTCCAGAGATGGGATTGAGAAATTACTAGCTTTAGAAAAACACCGTCACCGACAGTGCCAACGGGAGAAGCAACGATCCAAACACAGATGCCACAACGCAGAAAAGGCCGGAATCGCAAACGCTTACGCGTTGAACCAGCGCACCAATGCCGAAAGCGTCACCGTGTTGCGGGTGGGACAGCAACAAAAGTGCCGTCGATACACTTGCTGGCACCCCCGAAAACACCATCTCGTTGCGCGTGGGAGCACCACAGGTGAGTGCCGGCAAATACAGCTCCGGGCACTCCCGAAAACGCCATCTTGTTGCGCGTGGGAGCACCACAGGTGAGCGCCGGCAAATACGCCTGCGGGCATGCCGCCGCATCGACATCCTGCCAGACCTATAGGGCGTTGCGGCTGTGACTGCAGTGGCTCCCGTGCCGGTGGTCTCGTAGGCTGGCACTGCCGTGGCCGAACTGACCTGGAACTGGCGGGGCACAGCGAGGCCAACAAAGCGTACAGCTGGCCGGTAAAGCTGGGGTATACGGCCCGGGTGGCTCTCGTGAAACAGGAACGATGCCCACAAGATGTGGTGGAAGTTGCGACCCGGCTGGACGTGAAAGTGTTTACGAAAGTTGTTGTACTCGGCAAAGCCGGTATCATGATCCCAGCCAACCAGTCCCCGAGCGGTTGATAGTCGGAAGGCAGGACCTCCTTAGAGGAGAGGACTCTACCTGGGCCACGCTAGGGATGAGAAACTACCCTGGCATGCAAGGCAGTGGCGTCTTCGCTCCAAGCTATTGTCACTTTTCCCGAATAAACGCAGGCCCCGCGCGCGAAAGAGTGTGTCGTGTCAAGAAAGGGCAGGTGGTAGCATGCGGAGGTTAGGTTGGTATGGTTCTTAAAATGTTCCACATTGCTAGAATGTTAAAGAGCAATACTCCAGTCCGACCCTGTGTACCACTGAAGGAGATTAGAAGTCCAAATTGTGTGGCCAACGTTGAGTGGGGAAGGGAAGAATAACTGCAGCATGAACTGTTGTGAGGATGGAGCGAATGCATCGGCGAAGAAAAAGGGAGGGAGAGAGGGGGAGGACAAAAGATAGAGACCAGTGGGAAGCATTGCAACCCAAAAGATGGAAGGGACGAAAAACCTAAAAAAAAAACACCAATCAGTTCATGCTTGAACCCTATGACATACTGTCAGGAGCAATAGGCGAAATGCATTGCAGGACGCGCTATAACCCGCCTCATGCCACATGGTTGCAGCATGGGAAGAACCACGCCACCGCATCCTTATGCCGATATGTTCTAATTGTAGCCTCAGTACCTCTCTCAGGCAGTGAAGTTACCAATGTCCCACCAGGAATTATCAAGCCTCGCAGCTGTATATGGTTCGGAAACGAGCACAGGGTGCAGCACGCCACTGGGTACACTTGCCGTGCAAACCAGTCATTTGAATGAACAGTGGGTTCTACCGTCGTGAACATGTCCCAAAATGATTGTAAATGTTTCAGAGACTGGCAAATGACCCATGCAGGCAAAGAAGACCCAAGAGGACACAAACATTTTGGTGGAACTGCTCCAGAAAGTTAAGGCTTTTTAGTAATAAGTTTTACAATTTGTTGCAATAAATTGCAGAATGCTGCAACAACAATTCACTGGGAAACCGAGTCCCATAGAGCTCCATTGCCACCTCCATTCGTCTTGCAAGGCTCAAGAGCCATTGAAAAGGATTGCTGGAAATTACACAGCATTGTTAAATCAATCAAATCACTCTGCAGCAACAATACACGACACACATGCTACTTATTACGCTACCAAAACTCATGCCTATAAGGCAGTGTGTCTCTGGAGGATACTTACTCTACTGTCAGAATGTCAAATTGCTATTAGAGGTAGGCTTTGTCTAGCATTGATTTAAATGACCAGTGGCTGTCACCAAACTGCATCAGACTTGTCACCAACCGCATCCATTAAACGAAAACACAACACAAACCTAAAGAGTGTTAGGTTTTAGGAGAAGTAATAAGCAACAATCTGACATGTCCAAGACGATGTTTGGGGAATGGAAATATGGCATCTAGAAATCCAGTTGCGATTGAAATGAGCGTCGTGTAAAAAAGCGGCGGTGATAAAAAGCTTCCTGCGGGTGTGTCAGCCCCCATTTAGAATGCTGTATACAATGGGTGAAATGGCCAAGTGGTTAGTACCTTGAGCTTCCATGTGGGGCCCGGGTTTGAATTCCAGTAACACCCGAGGGCTAATGTGGCAGTGCAGTGTCTGGCACTGTTTAAAAGGAGGTGGGGGGGTGATGACGTGCGTCGCGTTGTTGCTTTTGAAAAACACAATTGCTGTTCAGTTGGTCCACACATTAAGTGAATATATATATATATATATATATATATATATATATATATATATATATATGTATATATGTGTGCATATACAACCAACATAAAACTGCAGCTTTCGACCACAAAAATGATAAACGGGATGAAAACGCAGAGCACTCTAAAAGATTAGCTAACCTGGACATGCAGTCACTGTGTTGCGGACGCCATAGAGCGAATGCAATACAGGTATTTTAAGCTGCTTCAATGCATTAGAAAGGTAGCAGGTGGAAATACGTTTGAATGCTTTGAAACTGCGATGACAGGGGGTAAAGGTATTCAAAGCTTTGACACAGTTTTCGGGAGAAATTGCTGTGTTTTGACAACTTCCAAAACTACCTTAGATAGCATCAACAGCAAAATAGTAATTGCTTGCCTTTTATAAACACACCCACACCCACACCCACATAAATGATGTATACACACACATATATATATATATATATATATATATATATACATATATATCAACTATAGTAATTATCGTAACGTCATTAGTAGCTCCTAACCGGATTTTGTAGTGGAGGGATTTGAACAATAACGGAATGAATTTGCAATATCAGCAAGTTTCATGTTGCAAGTCATGTGATGTTGCATCCTGCGGCGGATCTAGAGGGAGCCATCATGACCCCTCCTTTGGGTCCCGAAGTGGCACGCTGTTTAGAGGCCTTACGCTGCTGCCGGAGGCCTTAAATATCCACTGGCAGGGGCATTTCGAACACTAAGAAGCCTTCCACGATACCCTTGATTTCTTTGCACTTGCTCGGGGGCCAAACGCTGCTGTCGGGGCCCTATATGCTAGCATGCCGGGGCACCCTTGTCGATCAGGGTCATTCATGGGTTCTTCCACAAGTCGTCCGAAAGGCTCTCTGTGGTATCGCCAAGAGCTCATTTGCTTACCTGTCGGGTCACTCTCAGATTCTCAGGGGCCCTTTACATCGCTCTGCATCGCACCTTTGCTCGCGCTCGCATCTTCTGTTTTGAAATTGAACGCTTTTCCTAAAATCTGACCTTTCCGAAAATAAAAATGCCTGCCTGTCTCATTCACAATAGCCCAGGGGACGTGCTTGTTTTTAGACATTTGAACAATTGCATTGGGTAAGATAATTCCAGGTTCATCTTCAAAGCATGGGGAAGAAGTAAGTTGCGTCAGAATAAACTGTTTTCCAGCAGTTTTACTTTTCGACGGCTGACGATTTATTTGAGCTGATGATCTAGGATGCAGATGGACACTTTCTGACAGTCTTACTAAGTTAATTTCTTCTTCCCGACAGTTTTGCTTTTGCTTTAGAGGAAACAACGCTTTTCCAATTTTCAGTAACTGATTATCGAAATCAAGGATAGCTTTTCTTTCATTGAGAAAGTCCACGCCTAAAATCATGTCGTGGCCTAGTCCCGTAACCACACAAAATGAATGGTGCATTCGGGTTTTACCTAATGTAATTCGAACTTCTACCATTTTTGTGACCTTAAGTCGGGGGCCTGAGGCAGATACTAAAGGTACTTTTTCCTGACATGTTTCCTTTATCAAAGTGGTAGTGTGATTGTGCAATGTGTTT